CACCGCCAAGGCTCCCCCCGGAGCGAGGAGGCTCCGGTAACACCGAGCATTCAGCCCTGGCAGTGCCGTGGGTGCACCGAGGTTTTGGCTCGCCGGGTAGGAGGGCACAGGGGCCAGGGAAGGAGGATTTAATACTGTAGTGCATCCCAGCCGAGATCTGCAGGGTTGCTGCTGTGCTACTCACAGCACGAACATGGCAGGTTTTGTTTTATTAAAGCTTTTATTGACACGTTTTTAAAAAAAAAGAGAATCTGCAAAGCAGATCACAGAGCTGCTCAAGACATTTTTATATTCATTATGAAATGGCTTCCTGGCATGGACTGAACTTCTGCTGGGCTCTTCAGCCACGGTCCCCGGGTGCCTTCATCACCTCCAGGGACACTGATAGAGCAGTGAAATCCCCTGCCCTGCCCTCCATTCCCCTCCTGCCCCCCGGGATGCCACAGCCCTAAGGGATGGCGGGGGCCAACCCCACCCTGTTATTTCCACGGTCGAAGACGGAGTAAAACTGTCGGATGAAAACGTCGCCCAAAATCCAGAGGGGTCCAGCGGGAGGGGGGATGTCCATGCCCTGGAAGCCGCTGGTGCAGATGGCCATGCCGTCGCTGTACTCCTGGGGAACGAGAAGTGCAAAGCTGGGGACGAACCCGAGAGCCTCGTGCACACAGAAACATGCAGGAATGGTGGCTGCAGGTCCTGTGCACGAGTGGGGCTCGTCACCGGCCAGGACACGTGGCTCGAGGCCCGAGCCCCCCTTTGTCTCCGGAGCCACTTTTCCACCCCAGCGGATGGGAATTGGGGGTGGTGGCACTGGTGGAACCGCAGCCGTACCATGAGGGTGTAGGCCTGGGCGCTGAGCGTGTAGGGGAGCCCGTTGATGGTGAAGGTCACGTCGGGCATCGTGTTGAGGTTGCTGCACTCCACGGCGTACTGCGAAACAGCCGGGCGGCTCAGTGGTGCTGCTCCACGGGAGGTCCCTCCCGGCGGGGTGGGGGTCCCAGGGCTTTGCCCCCTCCACTCCCCACCCTCGCTCTCACCTCTCCATCCACAAGTATGGCACCAATACCCTTTTGCAATTTTTTTATATCCTTGGTGGGACCTGTGAGGAGCGACGTCCCCGTGTCCACGATGGCCTGGCAGCCGTTCCCGCAGAAAGCCACTGCCCCACCCAGCTGGATGCTGGATGAGGAGGAAAGAGAGAAGGACGAGGAGGGACTTGTCCTGCTCCCCCGCCCCAGCCCAACACTTCCCTCCCTGCCCAGCACCACTCACTTGTCCAGCTGGATCTGCCAGTACCCTTGCTGGGTGACCGGCACCCAGTTCAGGGTCCCCGTGAAGCGAGAGGGGTCAAAGCCACCAAAGAGCAGCTCTCCTCCTATGGAGGAGTCAGGGTTGCTGGAGGGAGGAGGAGGAGACGTGAGGGATTTTCTCTCTTTTACATTGCATTTTAAACAGGTGGATTTATACCCACTCTCTTCCCACAAATGCTTAGGGTCATTCGCTTTATTCCTGTAAGGCCTCAGGTCTGTGATGCTCAGTATGGTACCAAAAACCCCTTTACTATCTCAGTAAAACATCCTTATTTTAGCAGCCCCCCCCTAAAAGCAATGCCTGAGTCTAAGCAACAGCCCAGAGCAAAGCCGTGTCCGTACGCGCTCATGTAGACGGAGAACATGGGCAGATCCACCAGATTTTGTGCCATCATGTTGTCGAAGACAGGGGTGACCCCATCCACAGCCAGCGAGGGGTAAGCCAGCCCCAGGATCCCGTCAAACTCTGCATCCAGAAAGGCTTTTCCCGGCTCGCTGATGCTCTCTGCAAACTGCTGGTTGCTCACGGTGAGGCCCTCGACCTGCGGGGAGGAGGCTCGATGGTGATGCTGAGTCTGTAGGCAAGTCCCAGGCATGTTGGCCAGAGCAGGAGAAACCAAAGATGACTCACGACTACTTGGTCAGATCCGATGACCCCCGTCAAACTGCCGGTCCCGTACTGGATGGAGAAGGGGGTCCCTACCAACTGGTACGTGCTGGACAGTGACGGCTGAAACCTGGTGTGCTCAGCTGGGGAAGGAGATGGAGCTGTCACCAGAAATGCCATTCATCTGCACGGCCATGGATGCCGGGAGCCCCCGCCATGGCCGGCAGCAGCG